CGCGTCCCCCGAAATCCCGGAAGTCGCTCCAGCGGCGCCTCCCAAAACCAGGCGCCAGCGGAGGCGGAGCGGAGCCCGGAGAGCGCCGAGGTTCATTGACCCCCCCTACTAGTACCAAAAGGCAGCCCCAGCCACTGTGACCCCGAATCTGGACGCCTCCGTCCGCCACGCCTCCTAGGGTAGGCTAAGTGTGACTGTTGTCTCGATCATCCCCGGGAAATCCAGCGATCCGCAGCCGCCCCCATACTGAGGCTGAGCCGGCTCAGTAGGCTCAGTATGAGCCGCCGCGACCGGCCGCGCGGCGGCCCGGAAACCGGCCGCGCGGCGGCCCGGAAGAGGCCCCACCCGACCCCGCTTCGCAGCCGCTGCCCCACGGACCCTGCGGGCTCCCTGGACAGAGGTGGCGCCAGGCGCGGGGCGCTTAAGGGCGGCTAGGGGGAGGGGCAAGCCGCAAACTCAGCTTCGTTGGGTTTCCCAGGCCCGCCACCGTGCTGCACCAGATCGAAAAGCCCCGAGAGCGCCGGAGTCGTAGCAGGTCGGATGCATATCCTTACGGCGGAGTCCTTCGAGCGGCCAATGCGGAAGCGAAGAGGGCGGTGATTGCGAGGGCGAACGAGCATCTTTTAATCGAGGTTGATATCTCCCTGATGCTCATCTCCAAGTCCATCGTCCCAAGTTTGGGTGGCTCAATGGGCGCATCCAAATTGGAGGAGCGCCTTGAGCTTGTCGGCGCCGCGATACTTGAACAAGGGGGGGTAGTTTTATTGCAGATATTGGACTCGATGAGCATCGTGAGGGCAACATAGTGGGCACCTCGGAGGCCAAGGTCATCGACCGTAACAAGACCTGAGTGGGGGATGAAAAATCACCGAAGGAAGGAAGGATGGATGGATGGAGGGATGGATGGATATGGATGGAGGAATGGATGGTATTTGGGCGGGGGCTCACGGAGTGGTATCTTGTCGAGCACGGTCTTGAGGCGTCCACGGTCAAGGTACGCCCTCATGAAGGGCGAGTCAGGGTCTCTGATGCGGTCGACGTTCTTGATGGCGATGCCTCCTGCCA